CCAGGGGGAGTCCTGTAGCTCGCAGGGGGATCTTGTAGTTCCAGGGGGGATCCTGTTGTTCCCAGGGGGGTCCTGCCTCTCCCAGGGGGTCATTCCCAGCACGGTGGGAGATGCTGCCTTTCCTTGGCAGGGGTCATGCTTGTCCCATCGGGATCAAAGGGTCATTCCTGGCCCACCGGGGTCATTCCCAGCTCTGGGGCAAGGTGATCCTGTCCGTCCCTGTGGGGTCATTCCCATCATGGGGAGACGGTCCTGCCTTTCCTGGGGGTGGTCCCTGCCTGTTGCCTGTACCAGGGGGGTTCTTCCCAGCCTGGGGGATCATTCCCAGCCCAAGAGGGTCATTCCCAGCCACGACTGGGAGGGGTCCCTGCCCATCTGGGGGGGTCCTTCTCCCCCTGACTCCACGATGTCCCCCCCCCAATTCCTGCCTCCTCCCCCCAGAGAGCATCCACAAGCTGAAGGAAAAGGCCAAGAAGCGGAAGGGCCGCGGCTTCGGTTCAGGTGAGGCCCCAAAAACCCTTCCCTGGCACCCTGGGGTTGGGGGGTGGGTGACACCCCACCCTGTGCCACAGTGGGGGGATTGAGGGGCCCCGTTATCCCATCGTGTTCCCCCTTTTCCAGAGGAAGGATCCCGGGCCCGGGTGCGGGAGGATTATGACAGCGTGGAGCAGGATGGGGATGAACCAGGACCACAGAGATGTGAGTGGGGACATGAGGGACATGGGGGACATGAGGGACATGGGGAGGACATGGGGTGGACATGGTGGACACAGTGAATCCAGAGCTCCAGGTCAGGGCTCAGCCCTGCTGGGATAATACTTTTTCCAACTGCCCCCGTCATTCCCAGGATTTATTTTGGGGCAAATACCCCAAATCTCAAACTCGTGGGCTCTGTATCCCCTTCCCAAGGGTGGGAATGGGGGAGATTTGGGGGGGACACACCACTTCTTGGGGACCCCACAGCCTCTGAGTGTCACTGGGGACACCTTCCCTGTGGGAGGGAAGGGGAATGGGGAGTTGGGGGATCCTGGGCTCCAATTTGGGATGAGCCTTTCCCCCCTTCCCAGGATTTATGGACTCTAGGGCTCCATCTCCCCTTCCCAGCTATGGAATTTGGGGGACACACCTTTTCTTAGGGACACTTCTCCGTGGGAAGGAGGAATGGGGGGGGGGTGGTCCTGAGCTCCAGGTCAGGGCTCCCCCCCTCCTCAATTCCCGGGATTGATTTTGGCTCAACCCCCAAATCTCAGCCTTGGGAACTCCACATCCCCTCGCTGAGGGTGGGATTTCTGGGGGGATCCCCCTTTCCCAGCCCCCTGACCCCCTTTTTTTCCCCCCCCAGCTGTGGAGGGCTGGATCCTGTTCGTGACAGGGGTGCACGAGGAGGCCACAGAGGAGGATGTGCACGATCGCTTTGCTGAATTTGGGGAGATCAAGAACATCCACCTGAACCTGGACCGGCGCACGGGATACCTCAAGGTGCCCTGAGGGGCTCAGGGTTAGGATTGGGGGAGTCTGAGGGGAACCCCCCAACTCCATTTTGGCTTGTGGGAGGGTTGAATTGATCCAGTGGAGTCCGGGCTCGGAGATCCCGTGGGATCATCCCAAAAGCGAGCTGATTTTTGGGGCCGTGAGGGGACTGTGCACCCCAAAAGTGACTGATTGGGGGGCCTTTGCACCCTAAAACTGAGCTGGTTGGCGAGTTTGGGGGGGTCCCTGCCCCCCAGAACTGAGCCAGGGGTTCCTGCCGTGCCCAGGCTCATTCCCAGTGCCATTCCCATTCCAGATCCCAATCCCAGGGTGTCAGGGGGTCCCTGCCCCTCAAACCTGAGCTGGGGGTTCCCGCCATGCCCAGGCTCATTCCCAGTGCCATTCCCATTCCAGATCCCAATCTCAGAGTGTCAGGGGGTCCCTGCCCCTCAAACCTGAGCCGGGGGTTCCCACCATGCCCGGGCTCCTTCCCATTCCCAATCCCAGGTT